ATTTATTGTAATTAATTATTTGCATGCAATTAAAAACTAATTTTAAACGATGCCAAAGAAGGATAACTTCTCACGCGCCTACATAAGTACACGCACCCATTTTTTTTTATTTCACACTTTTTAGTTAGTATTTTAAGACGGTATATACCGTAGTCTTGTTACTTCAGTAAGGGAATTAATATCGCGGGAATTTTTAAATATCTTGCGTCGGTCTAAAAGATTGATTTATTAAGACATATAAAGACTTTACCAGCGGGGTCAAGGCTACAGATGATATAAGGCCTCAATTTTCGCAAAAATGTGTGAAGTTAATTCAAGTCGTTACATAAATATCTCTAATGTATGTAAATTTTATAGTAAACTAGCACTTACTCAAAAAGTCATCTTATGTTTATGTTTTTTTTAATAGTTTAGCAGTAAATATAAAATTCATTTACTTTTATTCGCCGACTATTTAAAATTGGCAGTGGCTGCATTGTCATGTCAATGCCGGACGTCTAAGATTGTGATATACACAAATTCAGTGTCAGTCCGTAGTCTCATAATTTGATATACCTACATAATTCACAGAAAGCCAATATGTAGATGCCAGAAGTTAACTTTAAATGTTTTTAACCACCCTATATACAATACCAATCAATGACGTTTATGTCACAGGTTGAAGAAAGCAATGACTCACGTCTGTTGTTTTTGACAATGGTGGCAACTGCCTTAGATCACTAAATTAAATAATTATGCAATCACCAAAGCTAAGTTATTAATATTTGATTAAACTAAAGGCGCATAATAAAATTTTCATAACGTTAGGTAGAGCACCATAGCAATCTCATTTATTATCAATGTATAGTTCTCTTTGTAGTTTTCTTTTAAAGCGTTCACATTTAACAGGTCAAAGACTTTGTGTTCGACCCTTTTTTATTGGTAGTGTAAAGCTCGAATGAAGAGTACTCCCAGTAGTGCAATCATGGAAATTATTTTCCAATTTTTTTTTGTTATAAAAATACCGAATAACGTATCACTGTTAAGCACAAATGCTAAGTAACTTTTACAAATATAATCAAATAAACCTATTACTTACTTTATTTTTAAATCCTTTTTATCAATTAAATACTTATATTATCCTAACTATCTATACTAATATTATAAAGAGGCAAGATTTGTATGTTTGTAACAAATAATCTGTCAAACTACTGAACCGGTTTCAAATATTAATTCATCATAAGGTAGCTACATTATTTATTATAACATTTTTCTTTATTTAAATACATTTTGTCCGAGTGACATAAGGTATATTTTATCCCGATAAATAAATTTCGCCCGTACAATGCCCGGGTGGATCACTAGTAAGTATAATATAATATTATAGATGCGAAAGTGAGTTTGTTTGTTGTGCTTCCGTGCCCTAATAGCTAAATCGAATATAATGAATTCCCATATAGAAGTAGATGGGAACTTGGTTCTTAGCTACAACATCGCAATACTTATAGGTGTAGGGTGATGAAAGGTGTGATTTACCTATAAAAATCTACATTATTTACTTTGAATTTTGCAGAATAATTACAAAACCAATATTATCGTGAGCTGATTAATAAATACAGGGATTCCAATAAGTATGTACTTACTAGCGAAAAATGGGTTATTTGTCATTATATTAAGTAAACCTTTTTTGTAACATTAAGTAATATCGTTAAAAAAATGAAAAACAGTAAAATTCTGAGTTTTTCATTAAAATTCAATAATCATAAATACCTATTATGATAATATGTTTTTCATCATTCAATAAGAAGGAACTGTATCACAGTTTTATTGTTAGTACTTCGTATAGGATCAGATACTGCGAATACCCCATTTTTTTTCTTTTACATAGTACACCGCGGTATCACTTTGTCATCGTTGTAACTTTTTAAATATTTGTCGAAATGACATAGTGTAAAAAGCAAAGTTTATCGTCTTTAAATATCAAAAGCGATAAAAGTATTTGTTTTGATAAAACATGATTTGTTAATACAAAATGTGCATTTGGGAAATAGATATCAAATAATATTTTAGTTTTGATTCACTATTTTAGCGGTAATGACTTACACATTAAAAATAGATACTATAGATACTTTTTTTTAGAACTATTTAAGAGGTACATTTTCACTCTACATTACATTCATGTAACTTTATTGTTTTTGCAGTGCAGGCCAAAATGGCTCGCAGATGGGAGATTTTTTTCCATCTCAGACACGTGACACCTTTTGTTATATATTGGCCAATTTACTCAATAACTACAACAATTATTATATTTAAGTAATTATCATATATGAGCTATATTACTGTTAAGTTTCATTAAAATCCATTCAGTATTTTTTAGGTGAAAGAGCAACAAAAATCCATACAAACGTAAGATTGAATTTAAAAGCGTAAGTGGTTAATATACAACTTTAAAGCGTTGTAGATCCTAAACAATCATATAACATGAAAAATGGTGTTAGATACCTCAATATGATTTTTGATTATCTAGACAGTGATACCCCACTCGACATATTTTGTCAACTTATTTTTTTTACTTCGTCACAATATGGCGCCTAATTTTGCCCATACTGAATTTTGATTACTATCATATCTTTAGTAGCACTCCCATGATTGAGACGAATCGATTGATGTATGAATCATTAAAATCGGTCCAGGCGTTTGGTCTCTAGTGTGCTACAAAGGAACAAACATACATATATAGACTGTTAAACACATAACCCTATCTGCGCGTCGCGCTTCGCGCTCTTGCATTGCGCAGCCGGGTAAAAAGACATTAAATATTAGCCTAGTTGTTCCTTTACAGAGATCAACATATCAAAGATGATGAGAAAGTGCAAACAAGTATAGCTGGAAGTTAAATGGACAGTTTCTATTGTGTTGTTTGTTGATACATTTACTTAATTACTTTAAATTACCTAATAATTAACATTACTTTGCTTTACATAAAAATAAAAATTAAAGATACTCATTTGCTAGAATTTCATGGAGAAAGAGAGAATCTAAGAGAAAATTAACTGCTCAAAAGATTCTCTGTTGTTAGATAATCCAGATATTGTAGCCATTTTTTTACTATTCGCTTTAATTTGAATTTTGTGTAATTATAAATAGATAATTTTTAATTTTTAAATAGATAACAGAAAAATCGTTGTGAGAATTTCATATTAAATCGACGTTGTGCACAGATTCTGTTTCTTCTACGTACAAGATCACTTTTACTGGGTTTACGTACCCAGTAAAAGTGATCTTGTACGTAGACATCAACTCAGAGTGCCGTTTGATCACTGTTTGAAAAACAAAAAGCTGTCGCACAGTTAATACCCCAGCCAGTTTATACAAATCTACAGTCGGATAGCGGAACGGTAGGCAGAAACTCACTTTGAGCAGAGCTCGTTGGGCCCTCTCTAATCTTAATAATTGCAATTTGCAGGCACCACCCCATGAAGTAATACAATAGCAAAGTAGTGACTGACAAAGAGCATAATAGATAGTTATCAATAATTTTTTGTCTGCAATATGACGTAGATTTTTGAACACTACCATTAATTTGCGTATTCTGGCCGATAACAGCTCAACATGGCATTGAAAATTTAATTTTTCATCCAACATGACTCCTAGATATTTGATTTTGTCTGTCTTAATTAATCTTGGACATTGACAACTATTTCCATCAATGTTAGTACAATCGTGGGATATAATATCTCTGTTATTAGCATGTTCCAAGTTTTTTAAACCGAACGTAATAAATTTGGTTTTTTCAATATTGAGTGTCAGGACATTTCCTAGGAGAAATTTGGTCACTAAATTATAACCTTTCTGAGCATACATAAACACATCATTCCAAGAATTTCCACTAAACAATAAAGCTGTGTCATCTGCAAAGGTGACAATTTTAGAGGAAGACATTTCTAGTTGACACAGGCCGTTTATATAAATTATGAATAACGTCGGACCCAATATGCTCCCTTGAGGAACTCCACAAAGCACAAGAACTTCATTGCTCAAATAGTTGTCAATTTTGACACATTGAGTACGACTATTGAGATAACTTTTAAATAAATCCAATTGTACACCTCTGATACCTATATGTTCCAGTTTTTTAATTAAGATAGGTATGGCGACCGTGTCAAAAGCCCTGGCCAGGTCCAAAAATATGCCAATTACTTTTTTCTTATTATCTAAAGCATTAACTATATAATTAGTAAGATCGTGAACGGCATCAGCGGTGGATCTCTTAGATCTAAATCCATATTGCTGAGGAGAAATCAAGTTATTTTGTTCAAGATAGCTGACCAATCTTTTGTTCATTAAACGCTCAAGAACTTTTGATAATATGTGTAGAATGGAGATCGGTCTATAATAATAATATAAGATAAGCAGGTAGCAGCCACAGGGGCGCAGCAGTTCCGCCTTGCACCTGCTGAGGTCGTACTTGCTCGCGACTATTCTAAGACGGGTAATAAATGGGCAAAAGGTTGCATTTCGGAAATGATAGGCCCAGGTTTCATGTAATGTAAAAGTGGGTGAGACCACCGAATGGCGTAGACATTACGATCAAGTTATCCCTCTTAAAAAGCATTACTCCCTATTGCGTGCGAGTATGCAGAGAACGGATAAACCGCCTGACGGTTCTGAAGCGGAATCAGAAAATGTGTCAGGTTTTATGTAAAAGAAATATGCATTGAATAATTGATTGTTTATTTATATAATTACATGAGTAGTTGCTCATGGGAATACCCTACACATATCACCTATTTTACAAACATATGACCAACATCCGTTACTAATTACACGTTATCACAATCAGTCGCACCAGCATCCTGTTGATTCGAATAATTGATTTGTATTACTTGTCCAAGTTCCATAATAGATTTTAAAAAAGGAAGTTCTTTCATTAATGTTATATAATTTTATATGTAGTGGTATTTTAATATGTAGTCTAATTTTAATCTTGGTCATGACCATTTATGCTAACCTGCCCACAGATATATTATCCGCGCACGCGAATCACCGCGTCTGCTCGTTGGTCGGGGTGGAAGGTGGTCACGCCATCGGCGGCTCTCTAGGCGTGCTCCGAACGCTGTACCAGGTGGGCGTGCGCTACCTCACGCTCACATCTACCTGCGACACGCCCTGGGCGGAGTGTGCGTCCGCAGACCGCGCCGAGCCGTCAGCTCGGGGCGGCCTCACGCATTTCGGAAAGGTAACTACATAGTAATCGCCATAAAAATAGGACCTCGTTTGGACGTGCGCTACCGCACGCTCACCTGTACCTGCAACACGCCCTGGGCGGAATACGAGTCCGCAGACCGCGCCGAGCCATTCGCTAGGGGCGGCCTCAAGCACTTTGGAATGGTAACTTTATACTCCTATATTCGTCATCAGCTTGTTTATGTCCCACTGATGAAGTACAGACCTTCCCTATGCAGGGCAGGGCCAATGCCGACAATTGCAAAGTTGCATAGGTTCTACCCACGATCGCAGTCCGAACTCGCTAACCACTCGCGCCATTGAGCTCCCCAGGCCGAATTATTCCTATAGCTTTATAAATATGATATTGTTTTAATAACGACAATATCTTGCATCCTATGTCGATGAATAAAATAAGTTAATTAATTTATCGCAAAGTGGTATAAGACCATCGTTCACAGAGTGATATCTTTGAAAAATACACCTTAATAACTTTTCTACCTACGTGTTCCATTTTGAGTTGGCAGAATATAAAAAGGTGCACACCTCAACGACGCTACATTTAGCATAAATTAGGTCTAAAAAGTTATGAGAAGAAAATGGGGCGTATTTGACGCTCTCGTTTATTGGCGTTGTAGACTTTTTTATCTTTCTTAAGTCAAAAAACACCGCAATCTGTATTTGTTTCTCCCAATCTAACAAGAGAAGTATACACTGTAGTAATTGAACGTCCATCGCAAAGAAAAACCTCCACCTTAAATAAGACCTTATAGAGAACAGTGAAGAAATCGATAGTTTAACCTAATTGGACTCTGCTACCCAACGACTTACATATATTTACCAGACTTTGATCCAATCAACTTGGATTGCTCTTCAATCGATGGCCGCTCAGACGTATACGTACTTGTAATGATGGGATTAGGCTCGATTCAATACTTAAACACACTTTTCTATTTATCGATATCCTCCATAACAAATGACTACGGTTTTCTTCTTTTTTGTTTAGGAATAAAACACGAATTAAAGTTATATTATTATCTTTATTAAAGGAACTCCATTGTAAACCTTCGAAGAATTTTGTCAGATAAATAATTAATTAAGATGAAAATGCTGGTTTAACTTATTAAACTTGTGACTTATCTTTTCTTAATTCTTTCTCGAGGCCTATCAGATAAAATAAGTTGTAATCCCTCGTCGAGATTGTATTTTGGAGTAGCCAATTTCCTATTTTTAAGGTTCCGTACCTCAAAAGGAAAAAAAGGAACCCTTATAAGATCTTCGAAATGACTTTGTTGTCCGTCAGTCCGTCAGTATGTCCGTCTATCAAGACCCTTTATCTCGGAAATGCGTGGATGGATCCAGTTAAAAACTTCTAAGTTAACAAAAAAAATGATACGGTAACTACGCAACATAAACATGTTGCGTACTTACAAATTTGTAAAGGATCCGCGGTGGGCGAGGCCGACTCGCACTTGCCTAATTTTTGTCTTGTAGTTTTCTACATCAAGTGGTATTTATTAATAAAGCATATTCGTCACATAATAATTGATTGATACAAATTATCTACAATAAATTATACAGAAAAAAAAGCAACTTGGCTGAAACCGAGCCGGCCATGGGCAGTATTATATCTTCTAGTATTTTTATTAACATTTAAAGAACCAGAAATTACATACGTAATATAATAATATAATAAATGTTACAAGTGATTTATTCAAATATAAAATACTAGCGGCCGCCCTCAACTTCGCCCGCTTTTTTTAACCCGGTTTTACACCTCTAGGGGTTCGTTTTGGAAAATACTTTCTTAGAGAACGCCTTCATCACAATAGCTTTATGTGTGCCTAATTTAAGCGCAATCCGTTCAGTGGTTTAAGCTGTACGTTGTCAGATCATTCAGCCAGTAACGGTTGCCGTTTATATACAACGTGTAATAGAAATAACGCACACCCTAAAAGAATTTTGTTTGGGATTGGCTTCTGAATCGAAATTAATAAACAAATATATATAAAAGAATCCCAAAAATGTGATTTACATTAATTCATTCTAACTAAACAAAAGAATAAGACGAAACATAAGGTAATAAGTGCTATTTTGAATGCAACGGTGCATTAAATAATTTTACTAACGTTGAGACATCACTGATTAAACTGATGAGATAAAAATAAAATTAATGAAACTGATTCGTTTGCGTATATTTGCAAGAAACTACTTTCAGGCGGTGCCTTATATACAGAAGTTGACAGAAATTAAGTAAGCTAATAAGAGAAATTATTTTCTCTATAAAAATCTCATAATACTTATGGAAGGTAGTGAACGCGGAACCATAAAGATTGAGACGTCGAGTAGACTCTAGACTGAGTGTGCTATAATCATAAACATCTCGCCGGCCGCACCGCAATATTTCGCTTTGTATGAACTCCAGGCTCACGAGCACCCCTTTGTTTTCCTGCAACGATACTTTTCGAAATATTTTCTTTTGTTAAGACTACTCACTCCATATAACGTGTACCACCGTAAAAATACTTACGCATGGTGGCTATAAGCCTTTCTCTACCACACAAGTCATTATACTTATTACGTATAATGTAACTTTAATCATCTTTACATATATATGGGCAATAGCAAATGAATAATAAAAGGCAATCAAAACTAGTAAACGATGTTATTTTGGAAGACGAAGGACATTTAAGAATCGTAGGTGTGCCTACTACATATGTTTACATAGAGGGTAAGTTCGCACTTCAAAAAGCTCCCGCTTATTTAATTGATGTCTCTTCCAGTTTATAGCTTATAAAAGTTGGCAGGAAGTTAGCAATTAATTTGAACAGTCCGAAGTTATCCTAAAGTCAGAACGAGGCATGTACAATCGGGGACCACTTTATAATAAATATTCAAGCAACCGGCAATGCTGTTCTGAGGTTTATTTCAGCTATTCACTCCATGCTTACGAAAAGGGAGGGCTTATTTTTATTTATGTTCTCGAACATGAAAGCATTTTCATGCAATCTGCTGCCGCAAGTCTTTGCAAGAAAATGATTTCCCTACTTATCTACATTACATAGTGTATATTGAATTCATAATATAAAACAACTTTACTTAAGTAACAACAACTTTTAAAACATTAAACATTACCCTATGGTAATGAACGCGTCTGAAACTACCATGAAGAAACTGGCTCCTAATACACAAGTTAATCCTATATTTTAGTAGTCTGGACTTTCCCCTTTTGATTTGCATTCTAGTATTTTTCCAATAAAGATTTATACCTTCTTTATTTACAGTATTACAATATATAGAAAATAAAATAACAGCAATTTAAAAACTACCTAATGCATAAAAGTTAAATACAAATTACGTTAACCGTACGGATTTGTTATTATTACTTTTATTTTATTTATTTTAATTTAAAGCGCCTACACCAACGTTTCCAGTTGTTTTTTGCCAAGTCGGGATTTAGAAACTTTTTGAGTTAAAAAAATACCAGGATTCTTTCGTCGAAAGCGGGACATAGTAAAAAAACGTATATACTCAAGAGTTTTGGAATATCTTTCTCTTTATTTGAGTTCAAATTACGTTTACGTGATAATAGATTGGTTCCTATTAAAAATGTCCATAGAAAATGTATCTTAATAAAAATATGATATTTTATATCAGATTTACCCTATCGTTAAATAGTCGAGTCTTTGTTAAAGAATTCTTCATTATGCGCCGGGCAGGCGGCCAGTCCGCGCTTGTCTGTACCACCCAACCGCGCTTTCTCAGTACGCTGCACGCACGGTCGAGTATTCCCCAAAAGCGGGATCGAGGCAGCCCCACACAGGACATTTAATTTTGTTTTTAAAATCGGGACGTCTCTAAAAATCGTCTGGTAACGCTGGCCTACACATAATAAAATCGACTAAAATTAGCAATACGTGAAAATTATACCGATCGTTCATGTAGACGAAAATTTAACTCATGGGCTTACCTGAATTAAATTTTTATGTAATCAAATGGCAAAAAAAACCGCTTAAATCAGATCAGATATCAGGGCGTAATCGGTTTACATACATAAAAAAACAAACCGGTCAAATTGAAAATCCTTTTTGAAGTGCCATAAAAAATCTAAAAAATAAATTAAGGTGATATAATGTGAATTAGATTCGAGTGTGGATATTAAGGATATTAAGCAATTTTCGCACTGGACAGTCATAGGATGGGTGACCAAAAATTTGTCATGCGGAAATCCATACAGAGAAATTAACAATACTTATATTATCTATATACAGAAAAGAGATCCTATGTACCTGATCACGTCATAACTTTACCGATATAACACGCATCTTTTAAAGTTTTCTAATACATTGTAGAAGGTTCGTAAAAAAATTAGGTTATTTGTTTCTTAGGTTTTCACGCACATCACTCATTAAATAAAACTAGTTTTGACGGTTCAAGTTGCTGGTGTCTACAAACTTGAATGCGACTGTGGGCTCTCCTACATCGGGCAAACAAAGAGGAGTATGGGGACTCGGGTAAAAGAACATATCGCAGATATGAAACATAGGCGCGAAAATAAGTCTGCAGTGTGTGAACATGCATTAGGGGGACCAAACCATTACATTAGATTTGACAAACTACAGATCCTTGCAACTGAGCAGCGATTCGTTCCTAGAATGATACGCGAGGCTGTTGAGATTAAAAAATATCCAAATTTCAATAGAGAAGATGGTTGGTATATACCACCAGCTTGGGAACCCATTATACAGGAAATAAAATCCATCCCCCGGACATACACTGCAAGACCAACAGATACTATTAGTTCTTTTTGTTTGCATAATTTAACATAAGAAGGAGATAGAAAGCCTCTATTGAGTTTGTTTCGCCGGTTCTTCTCAGAAAGGTCTCCCAATTTTGGAACCGGTGGTAGTTTACGGTAGTTAGGGTCAAATAAATAAACTCAAAATTACAAAAAATAATTTTAAATAAAATACTTTATTAAGTAAATTAAATAATAAATTCATACATAGACAG